ACTGCCATGCACAAGTTTGCCTCTGCTTTGACTGTTCTGCTTCTCTGAAAATTGCACAAGTCCTAGGGAGCACTCTATGGACACTTTGGAACACCACCGGCTAAGTGAGATCATCACCGGCCATTTAGAATGGTCATCGGCTAAACGTTATGCTCTCGGCCAACCTGTTTTGCCGGTCGGCACCCAACACTGCCGGCCGGCCAATTCTTCCTGCTGAAACCTGCAGTTGACAGCAGCAGAGGGCAAAACAAGGCATGGCAATGTATTTCAAGCAAGTGTGTGCACCAACACATCCCTTATCATGTTTGTGACTCAAAGGGATATGTTCCTTGATTCTCGGACCACCAATCGCGCATTTCAATGCGTGGTGGCCCAAAGAGTCAAAGTGTGCAATTTCAATATGGAATAAAATGCACAAAACAAACAATGGGCCCAACCTCCATCATAATTCAAGAGGCAAGAGATGCATGCTTAATGTTATGCAACCTAGGCATGGAGACTAAGTATGCAACATGAACATGAGGACAAGTATGCAAGTTAGCAAACATGCAAAGTGTAATCTTAACCAGGCACACATGCAAGGCATGTAACATGTTAGGAAACTTAGCAAGAAATGCATGCCAAATGCAACACCATTTAAACATGCAACAAAATGTCATGAGCCAAGTACCTAAGCATACAAACATGCATGCAAACATGGTTGAATACCTAAGCATATAGAAGCAACTTTCAAGCACACTTAAAAGGGGCAAACATTGGCACATAGCATACATGATAAGCTTTGAAAAACATGTAGAAGATGATGCCAAATCAACCTACCAATGCAAGCAAAGCATGCATCCAAGCCCAAGGACTTAAACTATGATCATATGACACATGAAGCAAATGATCAAAGTGAATCAAAACAGTCCCAAATCATGCCAAATTAAGGTCAAAGACACACCTAGATGGCATCTAAATGGCCTATACATGAAGCATACAAAAGGGGCCAAACATGGAGCATAAGATGCCAACCTCTTAAAGCATTAAAGGAGCATCAAATGCAAGCATACAAGCATGCTATAAGGACTGAAATGGCATGATAAGTGGTTCCAAACCATTGAAACAAAGCAAGTAAAGCATGCTAGGGGGGGTCAACACTCAAGGCCTACAAGGGAGATTGCATGGTAGCTATACAAAGCAAGCAATGGATGACCCAAATGACCAAAAACAGACCTTAAGCACACTAAAAACATGCATAAAAGCTTCACAAAGCTAAGCCAAAACATGCAAGCATGGTGGTCTAAATGCTAGGCACATGTTAAGGCAATTCATGGCATTACAAGACAAGTATGCAAGGCAAGCAGGTGTGTCTAAACCAACTAAAAACAGAGGCATATTATGACATAATAAGCACAAAAATCAGCTAAGGCATGGTCAACAGGAAGCTTAGTTAGGTGCTCCCTCAAGAGGCCAAAAATGGTCCTTTTCAAGGACAACAAGGAGAGGGGGTGGCCCTCTCCTCCCTAGGACCTCAAGGCACCATCCTCACCTCTGAATACCTCAAAATTTCAGTGGTGAGGAGGCCCAAACACCAAGGTCCGGAGCTCACTCAAAATAGCACAAAATGGGGCCTCTCAAGGCCTAAGAGGGGTCAAACACCTCCAAACCACAAAACACTCTAAACAAACTATTTAGAGGGCCCAAAAATAGAAATTTTTTATATTATTACACTAAGCTAAAAAACAGTTCTAAATAGGAAAAATAGGTATGCAAGAATGGGGAATAAAAGGGCAAGATTGTTACCCTTGAAGACCTCTTTCACAAATGAAGCTCCAGCAGCTCCTTAAGCTGCAAACCAACTCCAAAACTCTGAAAACAATCCCTTAGAACCTTAATAGTCAAGGGAAGGTGTAATGGTGGGTGTTTGTGTGCAAATACTATGAACAAATACACCTAGAACACTCAAGGGAGAAGAGATATAGAGATAGAATATGTATAAGTTCTAACCCTAGAACCAGAGCTTCTAACAATGTTTTTTCTCTCTAAAATGTCTAACCTAAAGCCAAGAGGGGAGGGCTCCTTTTATAGAGGAGCCAATCTTGTAAAGCTTACAAGGTAAGCTAACAAGAAGGCCATCCCTCCATACACGTGTATGGAGGGGACAAAATGCCATACAACTATATTAAAATATCTGCAAAAGCAGAATGAACAGTAGTCGGCTGCTCAAAAATGCCATTTTGACAAAATTGACTGCCGACCGCGAACAAAGAATGCCAACCGGTAATATACATTGCCGATGGCAACAAACACCAGCCGGTGGCCTCTGGCCATGGCCGGTGATGTATGGGGATGCCTCACAGGGCATTCCCTGCCCCTCCAAGGCAAAACACAAGTGTTTGGTGCAAAACCAGACACTAAACAGTCGAGTTCGGAGATCCTGAGGCAAGGCGCGTAGCCGATACCTTCGGGAACTCCAAACGAACACAAATATGGATGATCACTGGTGTTCAAACGGTGATGTCCAAGTCTTGAGGACGGTCAAAAATGGGGTGTCTACAGTTGCCCCTCTTTGACAGAACTCGAAAGTCATAACAATGACGGGAGTGAATGTCAAAGTCCAGAGACGACCCATTTTTGACAAGGTCGAAGACTCAGACAAACATGCAAGACAAACAAGATATGCGCGCCGAAGGCAGGGGCAAAATGCAAGACAATGCACAAGCCGGACATAACTTATGATCATGCAAAGAAAGCTGTAACGAAGCATAACATGCGACAGTTTTAAGCTAGCATACCCCAAACTACACTACAATGCAGAAAGGATGTAGAGAATTGTGCAATTCTCAATACGTCTCACTCGGAGTATACTATCCTGTCCGGTTCGTCTGGTTCCACCAGTCGCAAATGAATCGTACATACAATATCGTGCCTGTAAAGAAAACAACTCAACAGGTACGGTGTTATTAGCAACATGCATAACAACGCAAAAATGGATGCAAGATGATGTGCAATATATACAAAACTATGTATAAACAATGCAAATGAAAATGCAATGCAATTGAAACAATGCAAACTATATGCAAAGCAATTGAATCACGATCCAATCATGAGCGGTTCGAAACCACACAAATGTCAAAAGATTGATGGAGGTAACAAGTCCGTCTACCATAGAACGGTCTACTGAACTATGAGTAATGTAGACGGACACAAGAACAAAGTATTGTGGGGATTGACACAAGTGGGGAAACGATCCGCTGAAGAAAGGACAATGATCCTAATGCCGGATGCAAAATTACACTACAATGTAATATATATATTGTGGATATGCTGGGGAGATGGCAATGGATATGGCATGCGGGCCAAACCGAATCTTGTCTAGGAAAGGCATGTACACATACAAGCCATGTTTAACATAGAACGGTCTACTGAACTATGCTTCGACATGAGAAGTATGGGCACATACCAGACCAAGCTCAACATGGAAAGGCGCGAGCCATGGATGGAAGTGATGCAGTGAATGCATGCAAGCTACAATGCAATATCTACAAATATGCAATGGAATGGGAATGCATACAATGGATATGGCCTTCGGGCCAAACCAAATCTTGCCTAGGCAAGCATGTACACGTACAAGCGCGTCTAACATAGAACGGTCCACTGAACTATGTTTCGACGTGAAAAGTATGGGCACATACCAGACCAAGCTCAATCATGGAATGGCGCGAGCCATAGGCGGAGATGATGCAATGAATGCATGCATGCAAATAACAATGCAATATGCACTATATTCTAATGATGCATGACAATGCAACTATTTACGATGATGCATGACAATGCATGTTTTTTTTTTGTTTTTGAAATGCAAATGATGTATAAAATGCATGTTGCAAGGAATGCGCGACAACACGCGACTTTCGAGATGCACGACAATGCGAACGAACTATGCACGTCAATGCACCAAAGGTCTTGCACCTTCCAAGGATTTAAGGTCTCCTAGACCGTGTAGATTGCACAAGAAATGCATAACAATGCAAGTGAACTTGAAATGCGCAACAACGTGCGGCTTAAGATATGCATGACAATGCCAACGAACTGTGCACATCAATGCACTAAAGGTCTTGCACCTTTCAAGGATTTAAGGTCTCCTAGACCGTGTAGATTGCACAAGAAATGCATAACAATGCAAGTGAACTTGAAATGCGCAACAACGTGCGGCTTAAGATATGCATGACAATGCCAACGAACTGTGCACATCAATGCACTAAAGGTCTTGCACCTTTCAAGGATTTAAGGTCTCCTAGACCGTGTAGATTGCACAAGAAATGCATAACAATGCAAGTGAACTTGAAATGCGCAACAACGTGTGGCTTAAGATATTGCATGACAATGCCAACGAACTGTGCACATCAATGCACTAAAGGTCTTGCACCTTTCAAGGATTTAAGGTCTCCTAGACCGTGTAGATTGCACAAGAAATGCATAACAATGCAAGTGAACTTGAAATGCGCAACAACGTGCGGCTTAAGATATGCATGACAATGCCAATGAACTGTGCACATCAATGCACTAAAGGTCTTGCACCTTTCAAGGATTTAAGGTCTCCTAGACCGTGTAAATACCTGTGCGGTTCGTCTGGTTGCACCAGCCTTAAATGAACCACATACAATATCGTGCCTGCAAAGAAAACAAACTTAACAGGTACAATGTGATTAACAATATGCATATTAATGTAGTATTTGAAAATGCGTGACAACGCAAAGCAAGTGGGAAGCATAACAATGCTGTGAAAGCACAGACATGTAAGTGGAGCACACGGTCTACGAAGGCAACGAAACTGATCATAAGCATGCGGTCTACGCAAGCAATGATATTCATTATAAACATGCGGTCTACGCAAGTAGAACATGCGGTCTACACAAGTAGTGGATTGAACAAACATGCGGTCTACGCAAGCAAAACATGCGGTCTACGCAAGTAATGAATTGAACAAACATGCGGTCTACGCGAGCAAAACATGCTCGTATTAAAGTTTGGATACATGTTGCCGATGCAGCTAGCTTAGTTCAACCTGGGAGCATAATTGACAGGTAATATGGAAATCTCATGGTAAATGTAATTATTATAGCCCTGTCATCCTTAGAGGTTTTTAATATAGTTCGTGCTCTTTAGAGAGGCCATGAAAAGAGGAACTTCTGTTTTCTTGCCCACTGCCACTTATCCTATGTTTCCTGAGAAACTTGCTATGGACGGAATGAGCTTGAAGCAAGGAAAGCTGTGCAAAGCTGTTACTGTGTCTGTTGTGTTGCATTCTGATGGCAGGTAAACTTTTCATGTATTTGATATGAATTTTTTTTGGTCAGGATTTTGATATGAAATGCTCAGCGTCTGCTTTATTATATGCAAATACTAGTGCTGCAACTCAGGTGGGTTTGGTTGAGCCAGGGGTTTGGCCAGGTCCTGTCCAAGGTGTGTACAAGGAAGGACTTGCCTAATCCTGACCTAGGAAGCACGGATAAAGATCCAGGATACAGATCCGATATGATACAGATACGACAAAACTTATAAAAGTAGGATATGGGTACGGCTAGGATATGTTTGTAAAAAAATATTTTTTAAAATATTAGTAGGGAGTTACACAAGCTCAAGAATGTTGAGGAACCTCACTATAATTTTATAACGCAAAATACTAATCTTTAAAAATTAGGTAATAATTTAAGCCATTAGCTTGTTCATTTCTTAAATTTCAATAGGTATTACAAACATTTTGTTTCAATGTCAAGTTCAATGTGTTTATACCACAATAGCAGAACAATCTACATGAATTTGTCCATATGTTTTTGCCTTTTACACTACTCAAAAATGTTGTATATCAGTTTATTTGCTTATTTATTTATTGATAGTTAATTCTGCTATTGTTTTATTCACTTTCTATATAATTATACTTTATATGAGACATGCATGATACAATAAGGATACGTCAATTTGACAAATTCTATTACTTTTAACTCACTATGGTTTTATCAAAGAACTAAGCAAAGTATTGGAAAAATATTATTGTATTTATCCTCACAATTAAGATATATTATAATGCTATGCAAGAAATGCTATAATTATAATTTCGTAAAACAAGTAATACGTGACTTGGAGTATCCGATACTTAAAAAATAAGTATCCAATACTTCAGAATTAATGAAAAATTAATTAAGAAGTATCCGATACGTATCTGGGATATCTAAGTAGTATCAGTATCCGATATGGATACGATACGGATACGTCTCCTTTTAGAAGTATCCGTGCTTCATAGATCCTGACCTTGAGCCCGAGGTGTTCTAGATGAGGCCCAGCCTGAGTTTAAATTAGTGAACTCGGGTTAGGCTTGGGTTGTCCCGAAAAACCACAACCAGTATTTGTGACAAATATGTATATGTAGGCTTAGCTTTTGAGAGAGTCTCCAGGTGTCACATGCCTAATTAGGCTTAGCTTTTCTTATCTTTGAATTTGTGTTTTACAATTTCTATTTCAATTCCTAGTTAGTAGTATCAGAATAATAAGGATCAGGTTGTTATCCTTTTCTTAGAGATTTGGTTGCTATCCCTTTAAGAGATTAGGTTGTTATCTCTTTAGTTTTTGTTTATCCTACTCCTAGATTTAAGTAGTGGTTCTCTATTTATGTTGAGAATAAACGCAGTGAAGGCAAGCAGATTTTCCCCCCAACAAAGTATTCAGGAGGAAGGGGTCCCTCGAAGAACCCCATCAGTATTCACTAATTCTTTTTTTGATTCAACCAGTATTCACTATTTGCTACCAGCAATATTCTTCCTTTTACATATCTTTACTAAGATCCTTTACACCAGGAACTGATTCCACTGAATTGACTTGCTGACTATCTACCACTTACTATTAATGGCGTCCCTTCACAACTGATTGCTTCCATGAAATGATTGCATTTCTCCAAGTGAATCTGCATTTCGAGAACAAAAATTAATCTTAAAATTTGCAGCAACTCAAAAATCTGCAACTACAAACAAATGAAGAAAATCTGTATATGTATGTATGTATACACACTTGTAACGCCAAAAAAAAAAAAGAAAAAAAGAAGAGAAAAGCTTGGCCATATATTCACTTACCAGGAAGATGGTCACCACTGATTCTTGATACTGAAATAAGAGAGAGAGAGAGAGAGAGAGAGAGAGAGAGAGAGAGAGAGAGAGAGAGAGAGATTGTGTCACTATCATGTACTGTTAACCTCGGATGCACCTTGAGGGATCATCTGAACATCAATCCCATTGGTGCAAAGAACATGAAATGCCTTCTCTTCTCTAATATCAGTGACGAACTTTGAACATTCCCTATCAGAAATATGATTGATTTTTGCTAAATGAGATTTACAACTGTAATTTTTGCTAGTTCTTCGACAACATGGTCAAGCGTCTGCTGAATTTGGCATGTAAAGGAATCTGATATATATATATAGAGATTTTTGGAGAGCCTTCACACGTTTTGTGTCACTATCATGTACTGTTAACCTCTGATGCACCTTGAGAGATCATCTGAACATCAATCCCATTGGTGCAAAGAACAAGAAATGCCTTCTCTAATATCAGTGACAAACTTTGAACATTCCCAGTCAGAAATATGATTGATTTTTGCTAAATGAGATTTGCAGCTGCAATTTTTTCAAGTTCTTCGACAACATGGTCAATCTTCTGCCGAATTTGGTACGGAAAAGAATCTGATATATATAGAGAGAGAGACAATCAGATTAGGTTTCCAATTATTCCATAAATCATATCAAGTAACGTTTTATCTAACGATGGGGGAAAGATTAATCTAACAGTTTAGGTTTATTTAATATTTGTTACATGTACAATAAATTATATAGCATATAGAAATCTAGCTTGGGTTGCTCAAGGCCTTTCTCCAGGCCTGACTTGAACTTAGTTCGTGCTGAAGAAATTAGCCCAAGCCTAGACTGAATTCATATAAACACTGCCCAAGGCCAAAAAAACATTTGGGGTGGGCTTGGTTTGCTTGGGTTAGGCTAGCTTGAGTTGCACACCTAACAAATACTATGTGGGTGTTTGGGAAGTTGCTATTTTAGTAAGCTATTTTAGTTTTTGGCTATTTTAGGAGGCTAAAATTTGTGTGTTTGGGAAGATAGTTGAATTTTTTTGTGGTTGGATGTGATGTTTGTGAGAGAAAAAGTGAAATGAATATGGGTTTGATGTGACATTTTGTCTATGTTAGCCTATTTTGTCTTTTAGTGCTATTTTAGTCAAAAAAGCTACTTCCCAAACACCCCCGATGGAGCTTCTGGAATGAACGAAAAATCTTTGCGTCTATAGGTTTCAAATTTGCACTTGGAAATATTATGTTAACTGTTGATTAGTAAAGCAATTAAATGTCATACACTAATTGAATGAGTCCATTGTGGTTCGGGTTCACATAGGATTTGAAATGAATTGCTTATTTTTTCCGTGTGACACTAATAGGAGTCCAATCGAAATCATATATTCTATCTAAACGAAATCATAATCATCTTGCATTATGATTCATAATAATCCTCCAAGTAGGGCTGCAGACTAGCTAAGCCGAGTCAAGCTTTTGAGTGTTCAAGCTTGTTTACTAAAAATTAGTCGAGCTTAAATAATCAAGTTCGAGCTCGGCTCATTAAATATTTGAGAAACTCAAGCTCGGCTCGAGCCCACTCAATTACATAAACGAGTTGAGTTTGAGCTTAAGCTTGAAAAAAAATTAAACTTAAATTAATTTACTTGTTAAGATAAAAAATAAATTTTTTTGAGTAAAATATATGAGAATACTTATATTAATAATAAATTTCATTAATCAAATATGTAAATTTACACAAATATCAAACACAAATAAAAAAAATAAAATTAATCAATGAAAATTTATTTAATATATTATTAAATATAATTTTTTTTCTCTTTATGTTCAAGAGCTTTATTGAGCCAAGCTTGGTTTGATTAATAAACGAGCCTAAAAATCGAGCTCGAGCTCGTTTATTTGGTATGCAAACCGAGCTCAAATGAGCTTTAAATGTGCCGAGCTGAAGCTGTTCATGAACAACTTGGTTCATTTGCAGCCCTACCTCCAAGTATCATTTCATGAACCCCAAAGGGTTGGCCGAGCTGTAAAGACTTGAAGATAAGATTTAAGAGCATCTCCACCCCAATATCCAATTTTGAGGCGGCACTTTTGACAACAAAATTTAGCATACAAAATGCTTTTGTTTTCATTATTTTAATGGTAAGGACCAATAAAAGAGTTCAAAAAATATTAAAGTAAAAGCAATAAAATAATAAAAATGGCATATCAATGGAGTTTTTTTTTTTTTAAATATATATATGTCAAATTTGTATATGCCAATTTGACACCTTCAAAAAAAATTTAAATTTGACATACAAATTTCTTAAGGTTTGGGTGGGGATACTCTAAGGTCTCGAGTTCAAGTCTCCCAAGGGACCATTGGTGGTTACCTAGATCATTAACTTCATGGTCCCCAGGGATTAGTTCTCGGCTGTCCAAGCCCGAGGCAACTTGGGACCAATTGGGCTGGGCTGGGCGGGAGATACCTTAGATTATATAAAAAAAGTATCATTTCTTGTGATTCCTCTCCATTATGAACAAGATTAATATTCTATTTGCTGATACAGTATACACATCTATTTATTTACTATACATTGTTGAAAGGGTTATGAATAGATATTCTATTTATGATGACTATCTCACATCTTATTTGGACTTGTAGTATTGCAGAATACACAGTGGTTAATTCTGTTATTAAACCTACCTATATGCTCACATATGAGAGTGCATCTGAGCTACTATATCTTAACTTAGAAGAGGAAGCTGAATTGAGAATTCTGTCTGAGGCTGCAGCTCTCCGGTTGCAATGGCGTCGTCAACAGGTAGGGAGGGACTAATCTTCTTTTTTCAAATCAGGATTTTGGTTTTCTAAGTTGTTTAGGTTTACTGAATCACAATCCTAACCTTGTTATGATAAAATTCTGTGTTCCTAGACCTTTCACACAATTGGTACCTTCACTAGAAATGTTTAGGAGTTTAGGCATGTGGCTAATGGTAATGCAACTTGGTTTTGGTCGTGGTACCACCACATCTGAGAAGAGGGCTATTAAAATCTTAAACAGTGATGAAGGATGTCAAACTTTTTGATGAGTAAAGTAATTGTATTAAAAAGAGCATCAAGGAGATGCCACCAATATAAATCTACAAAAAACCCAAATGAGGGTCTCAAAGATCCCAAAAATGAATATGCAAGGTCAAAAATGTTAAATTGAGCATAGAAAAGTGAAAACATCTCATTATATAAATTACTCGCACTTCATTGCACCACTACCCTGGTCCATATTACCATTAAGAATGTGTGTGATGATTATAAAACTTGAATAACTGCCAGCATTGTCATTGCCTTAGCATTGTTAGAGTACTGTGTGTAGTATCCCTAATCATCTCCTTCCTCAGCAAAGTCTTCAACACTTTCTTCCTGCAATTTCCTTAGCAAAATGTCAATAGAACATGTTTTGAACCATGAACTTCTGCCTCTGCATTCATTGTTTTACAATATATTTTAGATCTAGGTTACTACAATTGTCGTTTTTGTTTTATTGTTTCAATTGAAATTTAAAAAATGTTAGGAAACAGAGTATGCATGTCCTCTACAACGTTATGACACCCCCATACGGTGTCCTCTACAACGTTATGACACCACCATCCAGTGTCTTCACCAATGGTCTGACACGACCATACAGTGTCACCTATCCTCTTTTATTTTTATGTATTTTCTTGTTTTGTAACTCTCTCCAAACTCAAGTTGGTTAGTTCCTATCCCCCTTGAGTTTGCGGGGGACTGTTAAAATCCACCTACTCTCCACCTACTTCACCCACTTAAACCTACTCCACTAAACCTAACCCACTACACCACTACCACCTCACCTACTCCACTAAACCTATCCCACTACACCACTACCACCTCCACTTCACCTACTCCTTACCTACTACACACTCACCCTCTTCTATATATAGGAATCATGAATCATTGTAATAGATATCAATAAACATCAATCAATAATACATAAATTTTTACAATGCATTATTTCCTTGAATGAAATGTGTTCCATGAAGTTGCTTCCAAGGGTATTGCTATAAGATAAATTGTGGATCAGGTGATTGGAATAGTTGGTCTTTCTTTCTTCCCTGGAATATGTTCTTTTTAAATAACGAAATAAGCTTAAAAAGAAATTGTTGTGAATTTGCCAAAATTTTACATTATATAAGAAAATATGAGGAAAGCAAAGAACATTAGTGGAAACAACAGTTTGTTGGTTTCATATTAAAAAATTTACATAAACATATAGGTATACACCAATTTTGAGTATTGTGATTGTAATATACGTATTGGCAATAGTTGAAAAGTCCCGCCCACACTTCTCCTTAAAACCCAAGTGTTAAGGAGAGGGAAACTAGAGCCTTATAACTAGCACAGATGGGGCAACTCCGAGCGATGTGGGACACATTCCAATACATCATCCTGGACCACAACACACACTAGTTGGACAAATAGCCCACTAGTCATAGGCCCAATCAAGCTCTGATACCAAGTTGAAAAGTCCAGCCCACACTTCTTAAAACTCAGGTGTTAAGGAGAGAGAAACTAGAGCCTTATAACTAGCACAGATGGGGCAACTTCAAGCGATGTGGGACACATTCCAATAGCAATGCTGACATGTAATTGTATACTCACAGAGATGATCTAGATTCCGAACTTGATGATTTGGACGAGTTGAAGATATTTCTTTTGCTTTTGCATGTATAGTGGGAAATTTTCATATACATTTCTGCCCTAGGATGACGATTGGTATGCTAGATACTTCTTGATGTGTCACTCGTGCATCCCTTGTCAACACCCTCTTGTGGATGATTTGCAGAACTGTCCACTCATATTTGCTTCATAATACTTTCTGAGAGGGAGTTTTTATTTATTTAATTTTTTTATGCACTCATTCTAAAATTGTACTTTATGAATTTGCTCTAGTTTTAATATGGACACAAATTTAAGCACACATTATGTATATGTTTGCCAGTGTGACTTCAGTTATACGTGCCTACCAAGGGAAAAATGGCCATGTATACAACACAATATTCATCTGGAAATACAGGATGGATGCATTTGTCCATATTGATTCTTGTCTTAGTCCGCATTTTAGCTATCTTCTTACAACTTCCACTGTCAATTTTGTATTATGTTTTGAAGTCTTCAATTTTTTTTAGCCTCATTGTGTCACTTGCGTAGTAGCTAAGATTTTTAAGCTGGCCTTTTCACTTGCACATAGATAAACTTTTTATGTTCTGTTTTGTACTAGTTAATATTTCTTGATACTGTTTGTATTTTTTCTTAAGAGGTTATTAGTATCATATAGATTTTTTGTAAGCCTCTTAATACTATTGTGACATTAACAAGTTGTGATTTTTAGGGCGCAATTGACACGACCACAATAGAAACCCGAATCAAGGTGATTAATCCAGATAATCCGGAGCCATCGATCAATCTATATGTTGAAAACCAGGCCGAACCTGCGATGCGACTTGTCACTGAGATGATGATACTCTGCGGGGAAGCTGTAGCCACTTATGGTTCTTCTAATAGCATTCCATTACCCTTCAGAGGACAACCCCAATCAAATATTGATGTGTCTGCATTCACCCATCTGCCTGAAGGACCTGTCAGGAGCTCGGCTATTGTTAAAATAATGCGTGCAGCTGAGATGGATTTCAGGAATCCTATACGCCATGGAGTTTTGGGGCTTCCTGGTTATGTTCAATTTACATCTCCCATCCGGAGATATATGGATCTTCTTGCTCATTATCAGGTGATTTTTTTGGCATACTTATTCAAATTGTTTCTGGATGTTTTGCTAGAAGTTCAACTAATTGTAAGTTAGTTGAGTTGCCTCATTAGAAAGGCCATTTGTCGGCATTGGTCCTCAATGGCAGGGTAGAGACTTGACCATTGGTATGATTTCCACAAAGTGATTGCCCTCAGAATCGAACTCATATTCTCATGCTTAGCAGCCCGAGCTTTTGCCACTGCACTAAGCATTAGCTCATAGTTAAGTTGCTTCACAATTGTTTAAATTCGAAAGTGTAATGCAATAAGTTCCATTACATGTGCTTACTACGGGGAGACTAGCCTCATTACTTCCCACTGGGCAAGAGGTACACGTGCACCTAACCCACCTATCCACTCATCAATCACGGCTCAGCTGGTTTCATGTTGTACACTGATCAATCTGGTCATTATAGGAAGTATTTAATATTAGTACTAGTACTGAGCTTGCAATCTTTTTTGTCTCCTGTATGGTGGCAAGGATGGCGATGTTGAAGTCAGTTTTTTCCCATGTTAATGAACTGTTAAAAGTCACGATGTTTTCTATTTAATATTCTCATGATTTTAATTTTTAATACACCTGTTTGTTCACTGTTTTTGTGTAAGACACATTTTTTTAACTTGGGTAAACTATTTTTCTCATACGCTTTTTATGTTATACCACTGAATCAATGATGCTGTAATATGATTATTTTTCTCATATGTTTTTTTTTCTTGGGGGAGAAAGAATGTTTGACCTGTTTCTCTTTTGATATATGCATATGTAGGTGAAGGCCTTTCTTAGAGGCGATTCTCCACCGTTTTCAGCTGGCCAGCTTGAAGGGATGGCCTCACTAATCAACATGAATGTTAGATTAGTAAGGAGGGTCTGCAACTGTAGTCTTCGGTATTGGATAATAGAGTACTTGAGAAGGCAAACAAAAGGGACAAGATTTCGTGCTTTGATTCTTAGATTCATCAAAGATAGGATTGCAGCCTTATTGTTAGTGGAGGTAAGCACATGGCAGTTACTTCTTACAGTGTCCGATAAAGTGCAAACTGACAACCACTAAAATTTCTCCAGCATCTCAAATTTTTCATTTCATCCATGGAATTGTACTGCAATATAGTAGAATCTAGGGGAAATTACAAATCAGTTTACATGACCAAAAAATACTGCGAACACATGGGAGGTGCAAAACTATTTGTGCAAAAAAAAACTCAGCAATAATCATTTTCACCCTTTAGTAAGCATTTACCCACTGAATGGTAATTTCCCATAGAAAATTTAATGACTCGAGCATGTCCCGTGACACTTTCAGGGATGTACCAGATTGGTCCAACCAGTTGAAAGGAGACCATTGGCATTGAGAAACTATCATAGTCACGAAACTCTGAAACCAATGTGTCAGAGGTTTCTCGAAACATACATTACCAGGCCAAACCAAACCAAACCAAACCAAACCAAAAAGCCTTGTGTCCCAATCAAGTGGGGTCGGCTACATACAAGTGAGGAAAAATTCATGCTTTTTGTTTTTTTACACCTTACTGTTGTTGAATAGTGCATTACTAGACTAGCTCCTCTACCATTCCTGTCCCATCTGTTGTTCTTTTATGTTTCTTTCATGAAATTATGATGTTAATTATCAGCTTCATTTAACAAGTAGCTAATTTTGGTTTAGTTTTTATTCTTTGATGTTTGTAGAGCATGGTTCCGTTATAAAAAAGAATCAAGAATGCTTCAAACCCTAGCTGTTTCCTTAACCTTTAAAACTAATTATTATTTACTTAACCTCTAGCCTAAGAAGCTGAAATATTTCTAATAAAGTGGAGTGGCGTGGCATGTCTGAGACCAATATGACACGACACTCGGCGGACACTTCCCAACACCTATTGGACATTTTTGAATAAGCCAATTTATTTGGGACCCTGCTGACCCACTCTTTTTCCTTCAAACATGGCCAACTATTTTAAAAATTTTCTAGACTCGGACACGCTTCAAACACTTTGAGAGCACCTGTCTATTGCTCAGACAAACATGAAACACATTACAAGTTTGAACAAATTAATTTCAAATCTAATGCCAAAAGAAAAAAAAAAAAAAGAAAGCATAAAGTTATACCTATTCTCCTTATTTCGACTTTAAAATTATTATTTTTGAATTAAATATTCGTATATATAACATATAGTAATTGTTTATCTTTATATATGCCATTTCCGTATAATAAATATATCAAATTGCATATTTTATGTGTGTCCGTCAGGTGTCGTATTTTAAATTTTAAAACAATTTGAGAGTCAACATGTTTATGCCGTGTCACGTGTCGGTATCTGTATCTATGCTACTTAGCCTCTAGCAGCTTATTGATATTGTGGGTTTGAAAGTTTTCACTTGTTCAGTCTAGAGCTTTCCTAAGAGCTTGGTTAGTTGGGAGTTAAACCTTTGTTTTAATGGAGCTTTTCTAAGTTGATCATTACAGGCCAAGTGCTGCTGCTTGTCTTGCTATCATACAACTGATGAACCCTAATGCATTGATTGCAGGTAGGAATTCAAGCTTCTGCATGTGTTTCTGTTGGAGTGCAGATTGGTGATGAAGTGGAAGTTCAGGTGGAAGAAGCTCATCCACGTGATGACGTTCTCTCTCTTAAGGAGGTTGTTCAAGCCTAATAAAGATAGAGCTAAACATCAGACAAGATACTTTTGACTCCATGCTGCAAAGATTTCTTCAACGAACCCTAATCAGTTTCTCTTACAACCCGTTTGGATTGGGTGATCTGTAGAGAAAACAAAAGAAAAGGTACTCTCCTCTCGAATTCTCTTTTTGGATAGCTTAATGGGAGAGAAATGGGGAGAAATTGAGAAAGAGTATTATCTGGACGCACACCTTTTGAATCTCTCCAAAATTGGAGAGATTGGGAGAGAGATGTATGCATATTGTTTCAAATTGCAATTTTTGCGAACGTGATTGGAATGCTGATAGTCCAATTGGCAGTGATTGTTCATTCCTGAGATGCGATGTGGTTGTGTAGATTTGAAATCTTTCATCTGACACGAGTGGATGAGTCTTTGGGCCATCTACTTTTTTTTTTTTTGTGGGTTTGGGGGCATGTCAAACATTTTTATTTTATTTTATTTTGTAACAGGAAACACAATTCATTGGATTCTCATGTTTGTTGCCACTTGTAGATGTATTTGGCATAGAAAAAAAAATCCGTTTTCTGCCCTAATTTGTATGTTTGGAGTTAATAATGATATTCATATATCTCACGATTGTTTTGAACCTATACTTCTGTTCTGCAAAATTTGCCGTTGTTTTTGATTCGTGCATGTTTATGTTTGTGTTTGTGTTTGTGTTTGTGTTTGTGTTTTTGTTTCTAATTTTCTGTTTTTACTTTTTAAAAAATATAAAAAAACTTGTTCGGCGAATTGCGTTTTTGATAATATCATGAAAATAACTCAAACTTTTTAGGAAACACAAAATTATTTTGAAATTATTGAAAATGTTATCACAATAATGAAAAAACTGTCGGTCTATTTGAATTTTTTAATTATTTTTATTTTCAAAAACAGGAAACACATCTCAATTAATGTTGTCTTTAGGTTTCACATGATGTGTTTGCATTGAAGATTTGAAACAACAAAACATGGAATGGGGTGGAACTGGGAACTGGGGTCTACCTTCATTCATGAACTCACGAGGCTTGCGTGCAATTATATTTTGGGTAAATTACATTTTATCTCTTTTGAAAATTGAGAAAAATATGCTCAGTTTTATATTTTTGACATAATTACATTAACTTCTCTTTTAATAAGATTAAAGTGATTAAATTAATGCATATAATAAGTAGACATTAAAATAAATAAAGATAAAAAATGATGACAACATTTTGTATTCACACGGTTAACGAATTATTGATAAAAATTGATTCTCCTTGGTGAGTGATCTATAAGTCCAATAAAAGTTTTAACCGAGGCCTATGACTTGCCCTGGCCCTGGACCTGGACTGGGGTAGCATTCCCTCACCAAAACATTTTATACAAAAAAAATTTATAAAAAAAAAATGGGGTGGAACTGGGAACTGGGGTCTACCTTCATTCATGAACTCACGAGGCTTGCGTGCAATTATATTTTGGGTAAATTACATTTTATCTCTTTTGAAAATTGAGAAAAATATGCTCAGTTTTATATTTTTGACATAATTACATTAACTTCTCTTTTAATAAGATTAAAGTGATTAAATTAATGCATATAATAAGTAGACATTAAAATAAATAAAGATAAAAAATGATGACAACATTTTGTAATTGATAAAAATTGATTCTCCTTGGTGAGTGATCTATAAGTCCAATAAAAGTTTTAACCGAGGCCTATGACTTGCCCTGGCCTTGGACCTGGACTGGGGTAGCATCCCCTCACCAAAACATTTTATACAAAAAAAAAAAAAAAATCTCAAGGGATGTAAGTATAATTATGTTAAAAGTGTGAGACTAATTGTATTTTTTTTTTTAAATTTGAAGGGAAGTAAGTGTAATTTACCTTATTTTTATTTTTTTATTTTTTTACCAATTAGTGAGTTTCTTGTTTAGTCTTTGGAGCCTTGTTTTTCTTTTCTTGTATGATGTTTACTTTTATATTAAAATAACTGTGTTATAATTTGTCTAAAAAATATAAACAACTTCCAATGATAATGTTAGAAATATTTATTAGTGTATCAATAAATATATTAATTACACACAACATTAAGTAGATTTGACGTCAGGTGAGAAATCTCATATGCATGGTACACTAAGGCCCAGTTTGGGAATAAGTTAATTTAGTAATTTTTTGGTTATCTGAATAAAATATGAGCTAAAAAAAATTAATATATTTAGGATGACATTTTGACTTTTTACGAAAAGATGTGCAAAAAGTAGAGAGAAAAGAGAATCTTTGACTTTTTGGTATGAATTGTTAACTTTTTAACTAATTTAGTAGTTTTTTAACTTTTTGACTAAAAGAGAGGGTTCCCAAACGAGGCCTAATTAGTGTTTTTAGCGCTTCCAATAGCTAAAATATTATACAAATTAGTAATATAGATATTAATTGATGTTTTATTTAATAATAATTTTTTGAATTTTGAAACATGAGTCAGTTTAATAATTACATTATTAAGTAGTAATTTAAAAGTTTATTAACAAAAGCATCCTTTTTTGGGCTTTTGCGGGCATTGTGAAGAGTACCTAGGTTGGTGGTTGTGGAAGTTACCCTCCAAGTATAATCTTGCCGGCCTATCTACAACAGCTGTGAGTTAAATTGCGGTAATCACAATGTTCCCAAACCATATAATTCCTCACACAAATTCACATTTTGTACTCAAATTGGCCTGGGTCAAATTCATTTATTTATTTTTTATGATCAGGTGTTTGGGTTAGGTTTCGCACATCTCGACTAATCTCAGGATTCACGCAAAGCGTCCCGTCCATGTGAATCGGACAAATCTCAAGTAGAGTCTACGGGTGCCCCAAGGAGCAAGTACTCATAATGAGGGTTGAATCTGACACTTAAAGGGAGTACACTCTTAAATCCCAAGTTGCACCCACTAAGTCAATCTTTTGAGTTGCTTATGTCAAATTATTACAACTATTATTCCTAAAATTCTTGACCGTAATAACCATTCACTACGAGGTCAGAGGTTATGATATCTAGTATAATAAAACAAGTAAAATTTTTCTAAATTTGCTGCTCTCATCTCCAATTTACAACACATTTGTAAAGAATTTTAATAGGTTCACTCTATCATCCAGTTCAAGACTAAAATTTAGATACACACTTATTTGCAAATCATGCGTATCAGTCAACTTAGAGTGTTTTGCGCTCTGGGAGAGTTGAGAATATGAAAATTTCTAACAGTACTTTACAATAGAACTCCCTTGTTCAACCCTTAGCCACTAGGTCACCTGTGTGGGTTTGAAAAGAATATGAAAGAAACGTTGATATTCGTAGTGTATGTTTTTATTTTATTTTATTTACAAATAGCTTTAGTATATTAGAATAGTTAGATTATAATTGAAAGGGTTTGTCACTGTTCTATTAGCTCGAATATCTGACCTCTCCCTCACCACACCTTAAGGTGTGACTAATGTCAAATTCCAAAATCTAGTTGCTAATTTTTGTTTGGACAAGTTACTTGAAAGTCCTAATCAAAAGAGGATAAGTCTATTTAGTCTCACAACCTTTTGAATACTTTTAAAAGTCTACGACGGTGAAAGAGATGAGTTTTCGGCGAAGAAGATGAGTAGATCTACTCAGATCTAAGTAAATCTACATGAGATCTGACTAGACCTAAACAAAAATAGTTGACAGAGTATAATATTTTCTCTATATCTATTTTTTTCCTTTAATTTCTTAATTTTCTACCTTTTCTTTGCTACACACATTTATTTTCCTATTTTAATGGAAATTTTTTTCAAATTTTGAACAAGTTTTTAAGTTTTAGTTACATGCACATTTTGCTATATTTTTTAACTATAATTTCTCTATTTATTCTTTTTTTTATATTTAATTTCTGACAATATTTTGGACATTCTAGTGAGTTTCTAATGATGTTCTTGACGTTTAACGAACATTTTGGGCATTCCGATGACTTCTAGTGATATTCAAAACACTCCGACAATGCTTCGGCGAACTTCTGGCGATATTCCAACGACTTGCCGGTGATATTGAATATTTCGGCAAGTCTCCGATTACTGTTTGACGAAAGTCCAGCAGTGGTGGAATACAACAGCGTTTTTAAAGTTAAAAAAAAATAAGGATTTTTTGGTAACAATTAAAAATATGTAGAATTAATTGGTGTAAGTATTTTATTTTGTGATTAAATAAATTTTAAATTTTATATATGAAACTTATTGATAAGTGGCCTTTTTTGTTTTTAGGTATAAAAATCTTGGCTTTTAAATTATGTGGTCAATTTAAAATTGTAACAAACAAGATTTTGAAAAATGGGCTTCGTTTGGGCTAGTTGGTTTGAATTAAACTCCATCGTGTGGTTAGAAAATTTACCATGACACCATTTAAATATTTTGAGCATATTTGGTTTGTCTCTCAAAATATATTTTTAGAGAATTTTTTTAAAAAAATATGTTTAGTTAAAAAATTATATAAAAAAAGTTAAAATTATTTTTCTCTCTATTACACACCAATCAATCATTTTTTCTCTCTCCTCTCTCATTCTCAATCACTTTTTCTCTCATACCTAATTTATTCAACTACTACAAACAAAAAAAAAAAAAAAATCAAATTATCTCAAATTCCAAAACTCTAAAATTATGTTCAAAATGTATAACTAAACAAAATTTTAAACTTTTTAAAGTCTCTCCAACAAATAAAATAATATCTCAAAATACAAATCAAACAAGGCCTTATTTTTTTATTTCTGTTCCATTTGAAAGATCGTGGGTGCAACGGAAATACACCCAACCCCCCAAATTAGTTAGCTCATTAGATCCATGGCACTGGAAAAAATTGTTCTTAAGCTTAAATTCAAGTTAAACTTGAATAATATATTAGTACTTAATTCAATTTACCTCTACTCATTTGTAACCCCACTGACTTGTCACGAAGTAACCTAAATCCTTCAAAGATTGAACAAATGTTAATGATGCCAGAAGACAGAGAAGATTGTGTATAATCGATGGATGGATGATGGGTCATTTTTGTCTCTTGCCTCCTTTTGGAAGGTTCTACCCAGATTGGGGAACTAATTTGGCTGTCTTGCAACATTGCTCCACATCATTTATATTTTGATAAATGTTATGTTATCTTGTCAAATGTAAAAATTATATGATGGGTCAGGAAGATCACGTGGCCATGTACCCATTCAATGAGATCATATTATTTCTTTATCATTTTCTTATTTTTAGCGTCATGTAATTCTTAGTCCCCCTGCTATTAGTTAGACACATCGTCAATGTAAAATTTTCAAAAAACAGGATAATTTCTCACCCAAAAAGACAAAATGGTGGTGGTAAGACCCACTATTGTAGCCAATAATATTTAGATTAGGACAGCACCTAAATTTACCCTCCTAGAGCAAATTATATAATTTCTCCTTTGATTGATCTTTCCTGTCACCCCCCCTCCCTCCATGTTTCTTTGTCCCTGCTTCTCATGACATCCATCCCTCTCGTATCCGCACACAAATCAAGTTGGGTGGCCTCCTTCAGAAATTGCTATCTACAAAATTTTGCCTTAATTTATTTTGAAAATAAAATATATGATGTGAATTTTAAATTTGTGAGATGTATG